TTTGGGTTAGGAGCGCAACTTCTTATGGACTCTGCCCCTAGAGTTCCTGCATTGTCATCATCGTTGTTGTTAGGTACCGGTGAATTTGACTACGAGTCATAATGACCCTATGAGCTACAGAAACTTTGCCCTATTTTGTGGCATCCTTATAATTGTAGCCCATAGTTGCAATCTCTCTGTCTCTCCATTTTGTTCTGTTGGTGTCTTTTTTCCCTTCATCCTCTTGTTGAAGGTCTTTCTTTCGCTGACCCTCTGCCTTTCCAAGCATGATGTCTTTTTTCCAGAGACTGACTGAACTCTCCTAACTTCATTAGATACATTTAATCAACTTCTTTGTCATGTAAGAACATTCTCACTAGTAGTAATTTCTTGGAATATTAGTTATATGATAAATGATCAAAGATTTAATAAGAATTTAGAAATATAAAATCAGGTAATAGTGTCCTCCGGTATCCTATTCACTTTAATGTTTGTATAGTTTATTATAAAGCGTTTGTTGATATTGTGAAGCACTCCAAGGAAATATTTCTCATGGTATTTTTCAGGTGAGAGAATATACTCTATATCATTTGATAAAAGCACAATCACAAAAGAAAATGGGAGAAATAGCAGAAGCAATTAAAACTCTCCATATGGCAATGAGCTTACCAGGAATGAGGAGAATTGGAACTTCGACAAAATCTAAATGCCAGAAAACTGAAGTTGATGCAAGTCATCGTTTATCAATCTTTCTTGAGTTGGTAGAAGTTCACCGCTTAAATGGAGAACAGGTAGGTCAAGTTTTGCTTCAGTGGCTTATATATCTGAGCTCTGTTGTCAAAATGTGTGTGTGTGTGTGTGTATATATATACATATATATATACACTATTCTATATTCTATATACTACATATTACATGTTATGTATTATATATTGTTGTGTGCTATCAAGTTGACTATGATTTTTAGTAGCCCTAGGAACAACAGTTCTGGTTTTGCATTAGCATGATCAAGTGTTCTGGGATTCCCATTCTTCTCAGAGTCAGCCACAGCTTGTGATGGTCCACACAGTCAAATGCCTTTGCATAATCAATGAAACACAGATAGACATTTCTCTGGTATTCTCTGCTTTCAGCCAAGATCCATCTAACATTGGCTACAATATCCCTAGTACCACGACCCCTTCTAAACCCAGCCTGGACTTCTGGCAGTTCTCTGCTGATGTGCTGTTCCAGTCGTTTCTGGATAATCTTCAACAGAATCTTGCTTGCATATGAAATCAACGATATTGTTCTGTAGTTTCCACACTCAGTTGGGTCACCCTTCTTTGGAATGGGAACAAATACAGATCTCTTCCAGTCAGTTGGCCAAGTGATTGTTCTCCAAATTTCTTGACAAAACTTGGTGAGCACATCCAGGGCAGCATCTGTTAGCTGAAATATATCAGTTGGTATACCATCTATTCCTGGAGCCTTATTTTTTGCTATTTCCTTCAAAGCAGCTTGAACTTCTTCCTTCTCCATACCTTTTCAACCTGTATGCAGGATAGATCATCCGGGAGGCTGGGTTCTATGAGGAGAAATGCGGCATCAGGATTGGTGGAAGATCTATCAAAAATCTGCGTTAAGCAGATGACACAGTCCTGCTTGCTGAAACTGAGGAGAACCTGAAGCGCTTGCTGCAGAGGGTCAAGGACTGCAGCCTTCAGTATGGATTGAGGCTCAATGTCAAGAAGACAAAGATTCTCACCACTGAACCAATTGGCAGCATCAGGATGGATGGTGAAGAGATAGAGATTGTTCACAGCTTTAGTCTGCTTGGTTCCACAATCAACACTCTTGGCACCAGCAGCCAGGAAATTAAAACATGTATTGCTATAGGAAAGTCTGCTATTATGGACCTCTCTAAAGTAATGAAAAGCAATGGTGTCTCTCTGGAAACTAAGGTACATCTGGTACAGGCCATGGTCTTTGCAATCACTTGTTATGCGTCAGAGAGTTAGACAGTGACTAGGGAGGATAGGAGAATTGATGCCTTTGAGCTTTGGTGTTGGAGAAGAGCATTGAGGGTACCATGGACTGCTAGGAAAACAAACAGATTCATCCTGGAGAGGGTTAAACCAGGCTGCTCCTTGGAAGCAAGGATTCTGAGGCTCCGTCTAACATACTTTGGTCATGTTGTAAAGAAAGACCGGTCCTTGGAGAAGGACATCGTAGTTGGGAGGTTGGAGGGACAGCGCAGGAGGGGATGGCTCTCTAGGAGTTGGGTTGATTCAGTGACTGGGGTAATCAGGATGAGTGTGTCGGAGACATATTGGCACAGGACAGAACAGAGTTTAGGGCTGTTGTACATAGGGTCGCTGTGAGTCACAAGCGACTCAACGGCACACAGCAACAACAGGAACAACAGATCTGAACCTTGCCCTATCCTGTGCCATCCTCATGATTTCGAGCCCACTGTTAAAGTCACTATGTCAGACCATCTTATTAGGGATTTTCCTCTCTTACCTTTCCCACAATTATGTCTTTTTCCAGGGACAACACACCTTCACTATGTGTGACAGTTGCACCATCCTTGCCTCCAAAGAGCAGCCTGGTTACACTTCCTCCAACACAGACTTGTTTGTTCTTTGGGCAGTCCATAGTATATTTAATACTTTTCCCTAACACCATAATTCAAAAGCATCAATTCTTTTATCAGTATTCATTGTTCAACATCGAGATGTATAGGAAGCAAATAAAAACGCCATGGCTTAGATCAGGCACAGCTTAATCTTTAAACTGACCTCCTTGCTCTTGAGCACTTTGAAAAGGAGCATGACAGCAAGACTCATCTAAATTCAGCCTCTAATTTTAGGTTTAATTTTCATGCTTTTCAAAATTCTTCCATTTGTTTCATAAATATCATAACTGCTCTTGTATTTGTTGTTATTCTGTGTCATTAGAGACTCTCACTTCATATGTTAATTTTTTTAATGTTTTGAAAAACATACTTTATCTTTACAGCATGAAGCAGCCAAAGTTTTACAAGATGCTATCCACGAGTTTTCTGGAACATCCGAAGAATTGCGTGTTACTATTGCAAATGCAGACCTCGCTCTGGCTCAAGGAGATGTGGAGAGGGCTTTAAGCATGCTGCGAAATGTTACAGCTGAACAGCCTTATTTTATAGAAGCCAAAGAAAAAATGGCAGATATTTATCTAAAGTATAGAAAAGAGAAAATGCTATATATTACTTGTTATAGGTAAGTGATTATTTCAAGTCATTTTTATATGTTTTACCTCCTAATATTAATTCCCAGGTTTGCATTTTTATATTTCTATTAACTGTTATACAGATACTTTACAGGTCTTTTGCTTATGTTTCCTTACTTGCTTCTTCTGCGGCCAACCAAGGTACTTACTCTTTCTGAGTCTTAATTATTTTAACCTGTGGCTTACTCTGGTTTTTCAGTTCTCCTCATAAGACGTTATTTCAAACCCTGAATAGCTTGTTTTCTTCTTCCTTCTTGTATTCACCTGTGTTCTGCCTATATCAAGACTCTACAGTGGTCTGGTTCTTTGAAGATGCTAAGTGATTCAAAGCAATTGAGCAGTACCATATGTGGATGAATGACTGGAGCTTCTCAGATATTTCTGTGATATTTCTAAAAGATCAGCACTGTTAATGATAGTGCTAATGATATTAAGATATTTTGAAATAAAGATAATCTTTAAAGGATCTTCTGCTTACAAAAGAATATTTCAAATATTTTTAGATATGGCTAGTTTGTTTTTTACATACTGCAGTATAATAATTTATTTTTTTTGTCTGGGCAGGTCTGAAAATTTTCACTTCAGATTTATAGTTTTAGCCCATCTTTAGAATGAGTATCTTTCATAAAAGAGTTTTTGGGTTAATTAAACAAGATACTGCATACTTAAACCTTAGTACTCCATTATTATTTGAGTAGTTTTGATATCTTGATCTGGGGGAGTGCATTGAAAGTTTGTCTTTCACTAGTTAAAAATAAAAACATGTTAAAGTAAAAGATTTTCTGGGTTTTTTATGGTAGCTCACTTTGGAATGTGTTCTATTTTATCAATAGTGTTATGGAATATGTTCTATGAAGCTCATTACGGAAGGAAAGTACATCTTTATTTTTCTTATGTTTTAGAACTTTTACTTGCATTATTTCAAGGTTAAAAGCAAAGTACATTTCTGCATAGTCAGAATTTATATTTTTTTGTATTGCTACAATCAGAATTTATTTTTTGTATTCTGTTTCTATCATTTTAGAAAATGGAAATGTTTCATGAAAACAATTTAACACACCCTTTTGAGTTTGAGTATGTGTAAGACTTTTGTATAATACACTGTTACAAAAGTTGTTGTTACAAAAGTAGAAGATCTTTTAAAGAGGTTGATTCTATTTTGCATTTTTTAACTTGGTTTACTTACAAAATTTACACACTATTTTTCCTTCACAGTGAGTTTCATACATTCTCATACACAATGTATATGAGTGAAGCAAAGTAATTATATGAAAAACAATAGAAAAAGGAAACGCAGTATCTGCAAAGTCTGAAACAATAAAGGGGGGGACCATATTTCATTGAAATAAATGAGTTTGGTTTTCCTTTTACTGGCTTATATGATAATATTTTTATGTAATGTACTGAGAAGAGTTGATTTGATTTCCAGAGAGATTGCTGAGAGAATGCCCTGCCCACGTTCCTTTCTTCTCCTTGGTGATGCATACATAAATATTCAAGAGGTAATGTTTCAGATATTACAGAATTTAGAATATTTTTTTTAATTCTTCTTTGTGATTAGTATGATTAGAACAGCACTCTCTTAAAAGGAATTTATATTTGATAATGTTTATTTAGTATTTGACGATCCAGTCATCACAGTAAAAATGAGGAGCTTTTACAATTTAAAAATATTTTTTTTCTGTATTATAAAGTCAGACATTCATCCCTATGCCCCTATAACTATGTTAAATAGAGATGATACTAAAAGCATATTAGTTTTTGGAACAGACTGTGAGAACTATGGTCTAAGATGATGTTTTCTTTGAATGAAAGTAGTTCTCAAAATATATCTGGATTCTTAACTAACTGCTGAAAAATAAGAATCAAGAAGTTGTCTGTGTAGACAAAGATTAACTTGAATGGGATTTGCATTACTGAGTCATAGCCACCCTAGCTATTACGACCTTTCTGAAATGATTAAGGTTCCTGGGCTTATAAATGTACTTAATCTCTGAAGTGATTAAGGTTCCTGGGCTTAAGTAGATCTTGTTAAGTGTTCTAAATGTAGAGGTTAATTATGGAAATGTTGACATTTAATGAAATTCAGTTAAACTCTTTAATTATTGCTTATTTTGTGTGCCTGCCAATATTAGCCTGAAGAAGCCATAGTAGCATATGAGCAAGCATTAAATCAGAACCCAAAAGATGGAACTTTGGCAAGCAAAATTGGGAAAGCTCTTGTCAAAACTCACAACTACTCAAAAGTAAGTATCTTGTAATTGTGTGTGTGTGTGTGTGTGTTTCAATTTATCAAAATCTTTTCTGTAAGTAGTCTTTATTAAATGCTGTTTGCATTTTTTGTATTTATGTACACTCTGTATTTGTGTAACCAAACTAGAATTTTTATTAAAGGGCTTCCCTATGTCTGCTTCTTCTTAGATGTTTTTTGTAAAGATTGTTAGCACCCTACAGTTATCTTGCATTTAAATTCCGTTATAATGAAGTTGTATTTCTTATATTTTTTTTTTCAGTGTATGATGAAGTTTAATAGATAGCATTTCTGATCAACCAGTCTTGGTGAGCCATGGACTTTGAAGTTTGATAAAACTAATGAGTTTTTTTTTCCTTTTGGTTGTTACATTTTTCCTTTGTTACTGGTAGCTATTGAATTCACTAGATTACTCTCAACAGCAAGAAAACAAAAGTTCCTACCATTTAACCAATAGACAACATCATGATAGAGAAAAATTTGAAGTTGTCAATTATTTCATTTTACTTAGACCCACAATCAATGCCCATAGTTGTTATATACTAAGTTGGAGTTGACTCGTGACTGTCCTGCTAGCAAATTTTCAGAGGCTGTGAAGCTCACAGAAAAAGCATGCCCATCATCTCCCTTGGAACAGCTGGTAGATTCAGAATACTTGCCTTGGAGATTGCAATTTCTTCCCACTCACCACCACAGCTCCCTATAATAATAGCAGTCAAGGAATCAAAAGGCTTGTTGCATTGGGCAAATCTGCTGTCAAGGACCTCTCCAAAGTACTAAAGAGCAACGTTGTCAGTTTAAAGACTTGGATCAGGCATGCTTGATCTAAGCCATGGTGTTCTCAGTTGCTTCATATGCCTCTGAAAGTTGAACAGTGAGTAAGGATGACAGAGGAAGAATTGATGCCTGTAAGTTGTAGTGTTGGAGAAGAATACTGAATATCATATAAACCACCAGAAGAACAAATAAGTCTGTCTTGGATGGAGGAAATGTAGTCAGGTTGCGTCTTGGAGGGAAAGAGGGTGAAACTCCATCTCATATATTTTGAGCATGTTTGTTAGGAGGGGCAAGTCCTTGGAAAACACCTTATGCTTGGAAGGGTGTAGGGTCAGAGAAATAGAGAACCTAAAGAAGATGGATTGTCTCAGTGGGCTCAAGCATGTCGGAGATTGTGTGGGTGGCCTAGAATAGGGCAAGGTTCAGATCTCTGGGACATAGGGTCACTGATTCTCAGTCATCTTGATGCACATAACCACATTGCATTCACTAAGGCTCATGACCTATGTGGTAAACTGTAGCCCACTGTTTTCAAATCAGTTCTGATTCATGGAAACCCTCTATCTTTCCAAAACTGTAAATCTTTACTGGAGGAGACCACCCATCTTTATCCTGAGGAGCTGGTTGTAGATTTGAACTGACAACCTTTTAGTTAGCAGCACAACACAAAAAAGCACAACAACACCAGACCTCCTTAACCAAATGCTATTCTTTAGCATAGTATTATACAATATCTTAGTTGCCTGTTTCATAATTGATTGTCCAAGAAAAATAGGATATATCACTAATAGTTGAAGTGTATGCCTAAGATTGTCCTGTTCTAGAGGGGCTTCAGGCCTTATGTTCATAGGGTCACCATGAGTCATGCTCGACTAGAAGGCAGTCAACAACAACATGTGAATGCTTTAAGTTTTTGTGGTTGTTTTTTTTTTTAATTTTAAGTAAATAAAACATTTTAAAAAATCAACTTGACCCCACACAATGCAGGTACACTGTCTTTTCCCAGAAGCCTGTGGGTCAAGGCCTGAGATAAACTATATACATAGTTGTAAATAAAGTAGAACAGTGTTAGGTATGTATCTGTACTATTAGTGAAATATCTCATTTTTCTTAGATAATCAATTATGGTACAGGTAATTGACATTTCTTACACTAATTAGTTAAAGGAGAGCGTCTGGCTAAGAAGCTCTGGAAATGTAATGGAGGTGACACAGCCTTGCAGAAACTGAAGACAACTTGAAGCAAATACTGAAGGTGATCAAAAACTAGCTTCAATATGAATTCATTAATCATAAGATTAATAAGATTATATCTCAGTATCAAGAAACCAAAACTCCTCACCAGCGTACCAACAGACATCATAATAATAAATGGAGAAAAGATTGAAGTTGTCAATGATTTCATTTTACTTGGATCCACAATGAACACCTATAGTAGCAGCAGTCAAGAAGTCAAAAGATGGAAGATCTGCTGCCAAGGACCTCTCCAAAAT